CAGGAGGAGCGCTGCAGTAGTCTTCAGCGCTAGGCAGTAGTAGTAGCGCTAGCTGTAGTCATCGGCGCTGGGCGCCATAGCCATAGCTGTAGTCATCAGCGCTGGGCGCTAGTAGGAGGTAGAGTGTAGAGTTGGGAGAGGTACTGGCGGAGGCCAGTGGTACTTACCTGTGGCGCCATCGCTCCAGCTCCATCTTCGAGGTACCTGCATCAAGGCGCCAATGGTACTTACCTGTGGCGCCATCGCTCCAGCTCCATCTTCGAGGTACCTGCATCAAGGCGCCAACTTCACAGGTTAGTACTGGACTGAGAGAGAGAGACCCCTTCACACCATGATGATGATGATGTATGTTCGGGGCTGCATTGCAATATTGATTGTTCGGATCATCGGTATCTAAGTCTTCCGCTGTGCTATCTTATACTTTGTATTGAAGGGTCGGTTCTTGTTCTGGTCTGCACCTATACGGCATGCAACACTTTGCATCCCGATCAATTGAGGAAATCCGCAGTTTAGTCCTAGGGGCATGCCACGATACTGAGGGCCACTTCGGTTGGAGGAAGACATACACTAATCTCCTCCGTTCCGACAAGTGGGTCGGAATGAAACACGAATGTATTACATACATCCAAGGCTGCAACGTGTGCTAATGGAACAGGAATTCCATGCAGCCCGCCCTTGGACTGTTAAAATTGTTGCGTATCCCATCAGACCCCGGAGACTACATGTTTATAGACTTCATGGACACTAAGGTTAGGAGTAGGAATGGAAAGAGTCAGGTTATGGTTTTCGTTGATAGGTTTAACAAATTTGCTGTTTTTATTCCACTGCCTGCAAAGGCAAAACCGACTTAGTAATTAGGGAATTCTTTAATCATTGGGTTAAGGACTACGGACACCCTCTAACTACAGTCAGTGATAGAGACACAAGGTTCGAAGGCAAACACTGGCAACAACTAATGAAAGTCTACGGTTCACGATTATGTCATCAGGCAGGCACCCAGAGACTAACGGACAAACCGAGCAGATGAATAAGTTGCTACAGCAAGTACTGCATATGTAGATAGACCAGACCAGCTGATTGGGATGAGCATCTTCCCAAAGTGGCACGTGCGTACAACAACTCTGTGGATTTGGCCACATCGCGCACACCAAATGAACTGCACAAAGGTTGGCGTCCTCGGCGCCAGATCGACTGTCTAAATCCGGATCAAATTCAGAGACTGCCACCCGGTACAAGGGAATCTGCTATACATCACGAGAAGGATTTTGAACGAGTAAAGGAGAACATTTGGAAGGCCCAACACCAAATTGTAGAGAAGGCTAACAAACACCGCATACCGTCTTAGTTTGTTGTCGGTGATTTGGTATGGGTTAAGTCCAAAGAGTTCGTTCCCGAGGGGGGGATATCGCAGAAGTTGCTGCCTGCATACAGAGGACCTTAGCAGATTCTCGATGTCATTGGCAATGCAGATGGTCCCTCCTATACACTCGATATTCCACCTCATCTGCACACTTATCCGCTCTTCCATGCTTCTAAGTTACTTCCCTTTGTCACTAACGATCAGTTTCCCTCGCGAAGGTCTATGGTACCACCCGACATGGACGACAAATATGATGTAGTAGACCGTGTTATTGCAGAAGACATATAGAACAGGATGCAGAGGGAGACCACAACGTCAGTACAAGGTCAGATTTGCTTACCGAGAACCTGAAGAAGACCGCTGGCTTACAAGCGATGAACTAATAGAGACTGCCCCTCACATAGTTTCTTATTATGAGAGGGCATGCAAAGGAGTTAACATTGTAGGTCGGTAAAGTTAGCGACTTTCTAGGAGGACCTCGAAATTAAGCCAGCGGGAGAGGAAGGATTTCACGTTGCATACAGCCGAGTCCAAGTTCCAGGGTCCCAAATTGTCCCAGTCCCGGTTGGGCCCAACCCCAGATGGTCCCAGTCCCACCTGTCCCAATAGGAGAGTCCCAGTTAGGGTCGTTAGGGTCCTTAGGTCCGTAGGAGGCCGAAACATTGTACATCGATGTCGGGCTGGTACCGAAGAGGCAGACCGGTAAAAGTCCAACCAGCACCTGACAGGAGAAGTCCAGGCCCAAAGTCCAATTTTGCAGCAGCGTCCCAGGAAAAGTCCAGAAGGTACCGGGCCACCAAAATTCATGCAGCAGACAGGCTGCGGGTGACCGGTACCGGTCAGAAGGAAACCGAGGCCAAGACAAGCAACTATTAATAGCTGCTACGGTGCAGCTCGCATCATCTATTGTCCTGCGTGAGTTGCAGAAGCGCTGCTGGTTGCTTGTGCGACCTCACAGCTTGGGCTGTGCGCCAGAGGGCCTGCTTGGCGGCACACCAGCTAAGGTTGAGGAAGGAGAAAGCGGCCATAGCTTCCATAGCTGAAGTTGCAGTTGAAGCAGAGCGGATAGCAGATAGGGAGCGAAGAGAGAGGAGAGAGAGAGAGAAAGCCAGAGCGATACAAGTATTGAGAGAGCAATCACACACACACACACACACACACACAGAGAGAGAGAGAGAGAGAGAGAGAGAGAGAGAGAGAGAGAGAGAGAGAGAGAGAGAGAGAGAGAGAGAGAGAGAGAGACGCAGCGGAGGATACTTGGGTACCTACCTGATTGACGTGGTTGTTGGATGTGCTGATGAGCGCTGGTCATCTGAACTCTGAATTTGTACAATATGAGTATTCATTGAAGTTTCTGGGCTGCACTGATTTGGTGTTCCATATCTGGCTTTGGTGTGAATCTCCCTGTGAGCTTTCATTGTGCATGTTGTGTGGAGAGTGGAGCTGAGCGGTTCATTGCCTCCCGCACTCATGTTCTCATTCTTTGCTTATAGCAGTATATGCCCACCTACGTTATACTCCCCTTACTTGTCCCTTTACCCCTTTTTCCCCTCCTTCCTTTATCTTACCGCCTTTTCCCAGTCTTTTTCCCTTTGTCCTTTGACATCTATGTTATACTTGCCTTAATTGCGACCTTTCCCCTTCTCCCTTTGGTTTCTTTTATCAATCCTCTGCTTCCTTCCACATTGCCTCCCCCCCTATGTCCCTATCACGATTTCATACAACAGTTTTTTTTGTCTTTCTTGCCCCCCTGCCTCCCCGGTCCAATTCCCTATCCCGATCTACTTTCCTATTTTACCGGTTGCCAACCGTCTGCGGAGCTTCCCTATTGGTCTCCGTCGCCCCCTGTGGCTGCGGCTTAAGGAACGGGCCAAAGGACAAGCAGCAGGAAGCCATGTCAACCTGGTTCACACATTGATGCTTAGGATATGTGGTCCCGTTTTCCATGCCCCCAGGAGGGAGGTCAACCATGCTATTCAGTTAGTCTTTGGCATGGGCATTTAAGGTGCCACGTCCTTTAGCATGGGCATTTCAGGTGCCACTTCCTTTAGCATGGGCATTTCCACATAGACAAAGACTAACTATACGGCAGCATAGTTAGTCAATGGCAATAGCCATGTCAACCTGGTTCACGCATAGACAAAGACTAAAATTAAATATACGGCAACATAGTTAGTCAATGGCAATAGCCATGTCAACCTGGTTCACGCATAGACAAACACTAACTATACGGCAACATAGTTAGTCAATGGCAATAGCCATGTTAACCTGGTTCACACATAGACAAAGGCTAACTATACGGCAACATATTTAGTCATTGTCTTATGCCCAGACAGAGCAGTTTCCCGTCCTATCTTCCATTCTGTTCAGTTCTGCACATGTCCCATTTCAGGTGCGACTTCCTTTAGCATGGGTATTTCCGTGGCCCCAGGAGGGAGGTCATTTGGGGAGTAAATCACACAACCAATTGATGGTCCTGCAGGGCAACTCTGGGCCTGCAGTGCGAGCTTCTGGGGCCAAGGTACAACCCTCTCCTCGATGTGAGCTGATCTGCTTATTGCCATCCTGCCTTCATTACCGGTGCGCTGATCGAGCCGATATTGCCTCAATCGCCCTTGCTATATCCGCCATCGACGGCCTCCTGGATATCCGCTCATCCGTACACTGGACTGCTAGGTTCAGCAGATCCACCACTGCAGGCTGTTCCTCTGGCATCACAAAAACTTGTAAATGTGGATCAAGAGTTGAGACCAGTGGGTTCTGTCTCACCCACGAAAACAGCAGTATGGTGTCATCTTTGCCCAGCTTCAAGATTGCCCTCTTTGCAGTTAGCAGCTCTAGCAATACCACCCCAAACGAGAAAACATCGCTTGACAAAGTCAGCTTTGCATCATATGCGTACTCGGGCGCCATGTACCCCGGAGTGCCTGCTTGCATTAGGATCGCCACCGTCGTTGTGCCAGAGGAGATTGAGTTGTCAGGATGTCGCTTATTCCCAAGCTTTGCCAGCCCGAAGTCGGCAACATAGGCCTTCGAGTGTTTACCTTTACCCTCGAGAAGGAAATCGGCCTAGCTCCTGTCTCCTACTCCCTAGTCTGTTCTTTCTCAAATAGCTCTTCTTCTTCTCTTTGCTGCTTCATCCAACTGCCGCTGCAACTCATCCTGAAGTTCTTCTTCTTGGAGGATTTCATAATCCTCCGGCGTGAGTTGAGTCTGCTGGCTGACTTGCAAGCCAGCACTCTGGCTAATGGAACCCTGAGAACCACTCTGACTGACTCCTGACGAAGTGGCCTGTGTAGAGGCCTGCGACATGGTAGAGGAAGTAGCCATGGTCGTACCGGTGCTAGCTGTAATCCTAGACCTGGCACTGGCCTCAGCCGACCTCGCTCTTCTTGCGGTTGTTCTCTCTCTAGCCTCTCTCTGTAGTCTCCTCTCGTTTCCTGGACCTAACTCTAGGAAAGTCAAAGGTCGACGGAGAGCAGTTCTACGAGTAGTCCTACGGTCGCCCATTAACAACTCCTCCTCTAGTGCTTGCATCACTCGTGAGCTACAATGTGTGTGATCTAAACTAGAATCCACACTGAATCCTACCTCAGCATGACACACAAGTTACACAACCGATCATGATACACAACTAACTTCGGTCGGCCTGGACAAAAACAGTTAGGTGGTTAGGTCTCAACCAATGTCAGATCCTACAGGTAAGTTTAATTCTATTTTTAGATTACTCTTGCACAGATTGCAATGCAGCAAGGAAAAGAACTAACCTATCTGCAGTTGTCTGTCAGTTGTTAACAAGTCCGTAACAACTAAATAATCAAAATAAAATAACCTACCTGTTGCGATGCATGCTGGATGGCAGTTTTGTCTAATTAGTGCCACCGCGAACAGTTACCGGAATCCCCCCTCTCCCTATGTCCTTCTTGAGTTGTCGCTTTGTGACAACGTCCTGGTCATCTGGTTGAGCAGCGTGTCTAAAGGTGTGCAATCCGGCCCACCCCTGTGCCCCAAGTCAACGCCGAACCTGCCAGTCCCTGCACATTATTTATCCTGGCATGCAATGAGCCTTACACCCGGTTTGATCTGGCTGATCAGGAGGCATTTAAGGAGATCCCCCGTAACTCCTCAAGAATTATTGAACGTCGCAGACAGGACGACGATCACAGCGAGAGTCAGCACCGAGTCCCCGCCAGAAATATTTAGAGACGGTCTGGTAAGCGTCTGTTCAAAGGGATGGCATGCCCTGCATGACCTCTATTGCGCAGCAGCAGAACCACGGACTTGCGGCAAAGCATGCGTGTACTAGTCCCAACGGGTTGATATGGTGACCGTAACCCGAGTGCTTCGTCCAGGGCCCTTCAGAGGCAACGCCCGTCTCCCACCAGCTTGCTGCCCAGGAAGAATGTCGACTCTCAAGGTTGAGTGCTCGTGACACCTCACATTGAGACAGAACTTACTTCCTCACGGTAAGAAGTAATGAAGAGGGTAGATAAGGAAGGAAGCAACGTACCTCATAATGCTGCCCCCAACCACAGATTTCTCACCGGCAACCTGATGTGGATTTATGATGACCGGTCTTTGCCTCGGCACAACCAACAGCAGAATGCAGTTCCACCTCGGCTTAAATGCCACATCAGCAAGTTCTCATCATCCAGCGAACACCCCTAATGTTACCACATAGCTTCCTGGTGCGCCCACACGACCCTCGGCTGCCTAGCATTCAACGCCCAAGCCTTATTACTGCCCCACACCTCATGCGAAGCACCGAACAGCTATTGCGAAGAACCAATGAGCGCAGTTTGAACCAGCTCTGATACCAAATTGCAAGGAAAATGAACAGAAGCGAGATGACAATGTTCAAACTGCACAATCACATTGAAAGCCAAATCGTATCATAGTGTTCAGAAAGCAGCATTGCACCAATATAACACCAGTGGAGAATCGTAGCACTGAAAACCAATGTCAATGAGAGCTTGCTCTCGCCACCACCAACATATGTATCCAGTCCCTATCTCCGTACTTGGCGCTCGGTGCCCAGCCTACTCCCTACACAGCTACTACTAGACTACTAATTGACAACGCAACTGTTGACGTCAGCAACACCCGAAGTACTTGAAGATGTCGCCCATGCAGAACCATCGCCAATACCAGGTACGTGCCCTCACATCATCATCATCATCATCCTTCTCTCTCTCCCATGTCTTCCCTTATTGAACACCCGAAGACCACCCCTGAGCCTGACTGTACATCCAAGCCCGCCAGCTATGAAGGCTGGGCTATGCCGCTGCCCTCAGCAGCGCCTTGCTCCCTGCACGACCGCAAGTGCTCGCACCTCGCCTCTCAGCGCTAGCAGCAACCCGCGAGCTTCAGCTCCAGCAGCGCTGCCGCCAGCATGATAGTACCCCAATGCCTGTCCAGGCAGCGAGTTCTTTCCTATATGGAAAGTGCCTGCCTCATTCGGCAGCCTGGTTGGACTGGCCTGGGCCCAGAAGCTTCCGGTAGGCCCGAGGATGCTGCGCCTCTAGTGCAGCTACTGGGCCTCATTCGGTTGGGCCTCCCAACTGTCTGTGTATGAGGCTGCGAAACTCGCCCAGGGCCTGTGCTTTTGTAAAGGCCTAGAAGGCCTGGGAATTTCCACGCTGCTAGGCCTGTGTTTTCCTCCAACCAACTGGCGCGAGGAAACTGCCTGGACCCCAAATATGAAATTGACAGCCAAGGGCCTCTCGTGATTTGTTAGGCCCGCCTTCACTTAGGGCGGGCACATTTGCTCTAGGGGCCCCTTAGGCCTGGCGAGGACCCAGATTCCTCGCACTAACAAGAATAGCGGAAAAATTAACATGGGTAAAAGAGGCCTATTGGGCTCCATCCCTGAGGTCACATTCAGCAGGAGTAGCCATTTTGATGAACAGAAGATCAGCGGCAGCCGGTAAGCTGACAATAGAAATGGTACAAGTGGACAAAGAGCAGGGGCGCTGGGTACAAATAGACTTCACATTGCATGAAGAGGCTTTTTTTACGCTCAYCTCTCTCTATCGCCCTAATGCAAACCAAGAGAGGCATCAAATGGTGAATCAATTGAACACACGTCTGGACAGCACAAGGCACACAATACTGGCGGTTGACTGGAACRCAACATTGCACATAGGAATGAACCGCATGCCGGGAGGGATTTTGGGGACGGAASGAACTGCGGGGGAGGAAGCACTGTCGATCAATAACTGATGGTGGAAGGCGAGTTAATGGGCCCATACAGGCTGCACTTTCCGGAAGAAMAGCAGTGTACTTACCGTAAGAAGAATAGGAGTCAGCAAGTCTYGGCGTCAAGGATAAATTATTTCTTAGTACCTAATGGGCTCCTAGGCATGGTCCACTCGKTTGGGATAGAGGATATACCCTATGCTGGTGGCTTGGACCACACCCCCATTTTTGAACATTTAATCACAGACTAGGGAATTAGTAGAGGAAGGGGATTTTTTTAAGTCAACCATTCCATCTTGAGAACTGAGGAGATGYGACAGCAGGTCCTTCACGCTTGTTTAGCCCGTAACTCAGAGACTCAACCCTTYGCAGAGCTGTTGTCGGCTCTGTCCCAAGTAGCRGGGAGGGCGGCCAGACAGCTAGCAGCAAAGAGAAGGGCAAGAGAGATCGAATTACAGCAAGCATTCAGGGTGGCGGATCAGAACCTGATTCGCCATCCGGGCACAGATTTATATGAAAGATTATTCGACGCAGGCAAGSCAGAGCTAGCAGACTGGGAGAGGTGTGTGGAGGAGTCGGGGTCTCCAAATGAGAGCCAGGATCAGGGAGTGSGAGGAAGGGGAGAGAATGRCCAAGTTCTTCTTCCACAAGATCAGAACCAGAGAGCGTAACACTGCAATAGAGCAATTGGAGGGACCGAACGGGCTGACAGCAATTCCTGAGGGTATGATTCGGGTGGCTCATGACTTCTACAGCAGCTTATATACCTCGAGCAGKATCATTCCAAGGAACGGACTGAAGGAGCAAGAGCCAAATTCCTAGCCCATTTGGAAAGAACAATATCACCACAACAGCAACAAATGCTGGAGGACCCCRTCTCGCAGGAGGAACTGYGGGAGGCACTGAAGTCCATGAGTCCTAACAAAACACCAGGAAGGAATGGCCTCGCGACTCGCGAGGGAATTTTGGCAGGGATTTTYGCCGATTTTGGGAGGTGAGAATATAAAGCCTTTCTCAACTCAACRTGGGCAAAGGAGGGGGTGGGAGAGGATCCATCGACAGGGATGATCATGCTGCTTTACAAAGAGTGGAATCCTGCAGACATAAAGAATTACAGGCCTATAAYGCTACTAACATTGACACACAAGATAGTAGCAAAAGTACTAGCGAACCGATTGACGACGATTACCCAAGGCTGCTTTCACTTGGACCAAACAGGCTTCATTCCTGGGAGATTCATACTGGACAACGTCATGACACTGACAGAATCAGTACGCTATATCAASGACAAGAGGATCAATGCAGCAATTCTGTTCTTCGACTTTGAGAAGGCTTACGACCAAGTAAATTGGAACTTCCTCCAACGCTGCATGGCGAAGATGGGAGTGGGGCCTAACTTCAGGAATTGGATAAGAGTGTTGTATAACGACACCCATGAACAAGTGCAGCAGGTCAACGGCAATCTGTCAGACAACTATAGAATGTCAGGATCAGTCCGACAGGGAGACCCCCTGGTAGCGCCAATTTTTCTCTTCATAATGGGAGCGGCAACCTCCTAKCTCAGAAAAGATCCATCAATTCAGCGATTGGTAGGAGAGCCTGATCATCAAGGAAAGACCGTGGRTATCCTGACAAAAATGTTGTTCGCGGACGACTTGACAGTGGTGATCCAGATGTCGCACTCCTCATTYGCCGCCCTAACAAGGCCAGTGCAGGCGTTTCAGCCAGCCTCAGAGATGAAGATCAACTCGCCCAAAATGGTTGGATGGTGGTTGTCGGACCTGCGGGAGGATGGACCCAGCCCGGATATAAACCCGGTGGGACTGCAATGGGTGGAAGAACCATT